GCGGGCCGCTTCGAGGGCGCGGCCCAGTTCACGCGGGCCGAGCCGCCGCCCGAGGCGGGTGAGGGCGCGGCGGTGCTGGACTACGTGGAGCAGGTCGGAGGAGGACAGGATGCCCATACTGCTGCCCCTGCCTCGTTCTCCCCTGTTTGGGCCTCCAGAACGTTCAAACACAAATTACTCCGACGGAAGGACCCCACATGAGAATCTCTTTAGCTTGCATGGGGGTATCCTCCTGCCCCTTCCCTTCTCCCACCTACTCTTGCCTCCTCGTTCTCCTCCTGTCTGCTCCTCCTCCTGCCTCAACCCCTGCCTCTTCCTCCTCTTCTTGCCTCCTCCACCTCCTCCCCCTCCCCCTCGTTATGCTTCCTCCCCCCCATTCCCCCTGCCCCTCCTGCCTCCTGCCTCCTCCTGTTCTCCCTCTCCCTTCCTCCTCCTCCTCCTCCTCATCCCCTGTCCTCCTCCTCTCCCTCTCCCTCATCCGCTTCCTCCTCCTCCTCCTCCTCGTTTCCATATTCCTCCCCCCTCCTCCCCCCCCTCTTCCTCCTCCTCCTCCTCCTCCTCCTCCTCCTGCCTCCTCCTTAGGCCTCCTGCCCCCTCCTGGGGCCTCCTGGGGCCTCTTGGGGCCTCCTGGAGCCTTCTGGGCCTTCCGGGACCTACTGGGGCCTCCTCGGGCATTCCTCCTCCTCCTTTTCCTCCTCGTCCTTCCTCCCCTCAGCCTCTTCCTCTTCCTGCTTTCCTGTCTCGTCCTGCATCATCCCTCCTCCTTTTCCTGGCAATCCTCCTCCTCCTCCTCGTCCTCGTGCGGAACACGACCCAGAGGAAGTGCACGACGTGCGTCCCAGCCGATACGCGCCGGAGGACGACCCAGAGGAAGCGCGCGCCGGAGGATGACCCGGAGGAACCACGTGAGCTGCGGGACCCATAGGAAGGCTCCCGCCTGACGCGTCCTCACAATTCACTCACAGACGAGGGTCCCGCCTGATACTTCCTCCAAATTCAGACCTGAGCCCAAAAGTGACGACAGTTACAGGAATCCGATGACCCGCTTGGATTAGTAACATGATCTGCGGGCCCCATAGGGAGGGGGCTCCCGCTTGAGACTTCCTCACAATTCACTCACAGACGAGGTTCCCGCTTGATACTTCCTTCAAATTCAGATTTGAGCATCCCAAAAGTGACGACAGTTATAGGAATCCGATGACCCGCTCGGATTAGTAACATGATCTGCGGGCCCCATAGGGAGGGGGCTCCCGCTTGAGACTTCCTCACAATTCACTCAAAGACGAGGCTCCCGCTTGATACTTCCTCCAAGTTCAGACCAGAGGGGCCCAAATGTGACGACAGTTAAAGGAATCCGATGACCCGCTCGGATTAGTAACATGATCTGCGGGCCCCATAAGGAGGGGGCTCCCGCCTGAGACTTCCTCACAATTCACTCACAGACGAGGCTCCCGCTTGATACTTCCTCCAAATTCAGACCTGAGGAGCCCAAAGTGACGACAGTTACAGGAATCCGATGGCCCGCTCGGATTAGTAACATGATCTGCGGGCCCCATAGGGAGGGGGCTCCCGCCTGACGCGTCCTCACAATTCACTCACAGACGAGGGTCCCGCTTGATACTTCTTCCAAAGTCAGACCTGAGGAGCCCAAAAGTGACGACAGTTATAGGAATCCGATGACCCGCTTGGATTAATAACGTGATCTGTGGGCCCCATGGGGAGGGGGCTCCCGCCTGAGACTTGCTTGCAATTCACTGACACACGAGGCTCACGCCTGATACTTCCTCCGAATTCAGACCTGAGGAGCCCAAAAGTGACGACAATTACAGGAATCCGATGACCCGCTTGGATTAGTAACATGATTTGCGGGCCCCATAGGGAGGGGGCTCCCGCTTGAGACATTTTCGCAATTCACTCACAGACGAGGCTCCCGCTTGATACTTCCTCCAAATTCAGACCTGAGGAACCCCGAAGTGACGACAGTTACAGGAATCCGATGACCCGCTCGCATTCGTAACATGATCTGCGGGCCCCATAGGGAGGGGGCTCCCGCCTGAGACTTCCTCACAATTCACTCACGGACGAGGCTCCCTCTTGGTGGATGATGGTGAGATGGGATGATGACGACGGTGTTTTATGATGATATATGATTGATGATGATGATGATGGTGGTGGTGGTGGTGATGACGACGTGATGATGATGATGGTGGTGATGATGAGTGCTGATGGTGAGTGATCGTGCGATTCTGATGGTAAATGGTGGTGATGGTGATGGGGACGAAGTGGTGAGTCAGCGAGTAGTGATGATGATGATGATGATCGTTCGATGCCGATGATGGTGAGTGATCGTGTGATGGTGATGGTGATGCTGATGGTGGTGATGATGATGATGATGCGTGGGGAGTGATGGTGATGGTGATGATGATGCGGAGGAGGAAGCAAAGAGGAGCAGAGGAGAGGGAGGAGGACGATAAATCCTGCGCGGAGGGTGTGCAGAGAAAACAAGAACCCCACTTAGGATGTGGGGAAAAACATAAAAAAAAACAAAACACAGCACGACAAAAACAAACAATAACAAAAAAACGGCTGGAAGGTGGTGCCCCTATTTCGTCCTTCTCGTCGTCGTCGTCGTCGTCGCCATACACGCCGGTCGTTGAAAGTAGGCATTTCTGGATTCCCAGATCCCAATCTACTTCAAGCGCCTCCCTACTTCAAGAATCGGCTTGCTTTTGCTTTGTTTTGTTACCTAACAGCGAAGACTGATTGGTTTCTAGTAGGGTCAAAAGAGAGCATCATGACGCCCCAGGGGGGTCTGGGCGCGATCCGGGGGAGGATGCCGGGGATTTTCTTAAGACAACAGTAACGCACTTCGTGGTCTTCGAGTTCCCATAACTCCATTCCTGGGCATGATTTTGAATGCCTGGAGCCAACTGTAGGCCACTTCGTGGTCTTCGAGTTCCCAGAACTCCACTCCTGGGCATGATTTTGAATGCCCAGAGCCAACAGTAGGCCACTTCGTGGTCTTCGAGTTCCCAGAACTCCATTCCTGGGCATGATTTTGAATGCCCGGAGCCAACAGTAGGCCACTTCGTGGTCTTCGAGTTCCAAGAACTCCATTCCTGGGCATGATTTTGAATGCCCGGAGCCAACTGTAGGCCACTTCGTGTTCTTCGAGTTCCCAGAACTCCATTCCCGGGTCACATGCTGAGGCTGAGGCTGAGGCTGAGGCTGAGGCTGCAGGCTGAGGCTGAGGCAGGCTGAGGCTGAGGCCGAGGCTGAAGGCAGACTGAGGCTGAGGCTGAAGCAGGCTGAGGCTGAGGCTGAGGCAGGCTGAGGCTGAGGCTGAGGCAGGCTGATGCTGAGGCAGGCTGAGGCTGAGGCTGAGGCTGATGCAGGCTGAGGCTGAGGCAGGCTGAGGCTGAGGCCGAGGCTGAAGGCAGACAGATGCTGAGGCTGAGGCAGGCTGAGGCTGAGGCTGAGGCAGGCTGATGCTGAGGCAGGCTGAGGCTGAGGCTGAGGCTGATGCAGGCTGAGGCTGAGGCAGGCTGAGGCTGAGGCCGAGGCTGAAGGCAGACTGAGGCTGAGGCTGAAGCAGGCTGAGGCTGAGGCAGAGGAGGCTGAGGCTGAGGCAGGCTGATGCTGAGGCAGGCTGAGGCTGAGGCTGAGGCTGATGCAGGCTGAGGCTGAGGCAGGCTGAGGCTGAGGCCGAGGCTGAAGGCAGACTGAGGCTGAGGCTGAAGCAGGCTGAGGCTGAGGCTGAGGCAGGCTGAGGCTGAGGCTGAGGCAGGCTGATGCTGAGGCAGGCTGAGGCTGAGGCTGAGGCTGATGCAGGCTGAGGCTGAGGCAGGCTGAGGCTGAGGCCGAGGCTGAAGGCAGACTGAGGCTGAGGCTGAAGCAGGCTGAGGCTGAGGCTGAGGCAGGCTGAGGCTGAGGCTGAGGCTGAGGCAGGCTGATGCTGAGGCAGGCTGAGGCTGAGGCTGAGGCTGATGCAGGCTGAGGCTGAGGCAGGCGAGGCTGAGGCCGAAGGCAGACTGAGGCTGAGGCTGAAGCAGGCTGAGGCTGAGGCTGAGGCAGGCTGAGGCTGAGGCTGAGGCAGGCTGATGCTGAGGCAGGCTGAGGCTGAGGCTGAGGCTGATGCAGGCTGAGGCTGAGGCAGGCTGAGGCTGAGGCCGAGGCTGAAGGCAGACTGAGGCTGAGGCTGCAGGCTGAGGCTGAGGCTGAGGCTGAGGCAGGCTGAGGCTGAGGCTGCAGGCTGAGGCTGAGGCAGGCTGAGGCTGAGGCTGATGCAGGCTGAGGCTGAGGCAGGCTGAGGCTGAGGCCGAGGCTGAAGGCAGACTGAGGCTGAGGCTGAAGCAGGCTGAGGCTGAGGCTGAGGCAGGCTGAGGCTGAGGCTGAGGCAGGCTGATGCTGAGGCAGGCTGAGGCTGAGGCTGAGGCTGAGGCTGAGGCAGGCTGAGGCTGAGGCCGAGGCTGAAGGCAGACTGAGGCTGAGGCTGAAGGCAGGCTGAGGCTGAGGCTGAGGCAGGCTGAGGCTGAGGCAGGCTGAGGCTGAGGCTGAGGCAGGCTGAGGCTGAGGCTGTGACTGCGACTGCCGTTGCCACTGCGATTGTCATCGCGAATGCGACTACGACTGCGAGAACAGCAGAATTCTACAACTGGATTCTCATCAGAACCTTAAGGGGAATGCTTCCAGATATGCTCCTACACATCGCTGTTAGGTTGCTTTGCCGGAATAATTATTCCCTGGGGGCCCGGACCCAATCTACTATATATATCCGCCTTCCTACTTCATGTTTCTACCTACTTTTTCCGACCGACGTGTACCCACACAGCCGCTGCCCCTGCCTCGTTTTCCCCTGTCTGGGCCTCGAGGGAGGCCCTCGTCGCCACCGCCGCGCTCGCCCCGGAGTTCTGGTCGGAGCGCCCCCCGGGAGAGGCCCGGGGAGCAGCGGCACGGGCACCTCTTGGCTTCCCCCGCAGGGGGACCTGACCCTGCCCGGG